TATATATATATATAAGACCATTTACATTTTTGTACAAAGTGGTCACAATTAATCATGACCATTAGATGTGAAATTTGATGGCTGCATTTATTTTATAGATCAAATTCAAAGTTCAAAGTTCAAAATAAATCTTTTCAAACTTTGTAACACATCCAAGCTATCAGATTTCACATTAGATGGTTGTAAATAATAGTGGCATCCTTGCATTCAAAGTAAATAGTCTTATTATATACAATCCTCTATATATATAGAGAGAGATTCTTGGCTTCTGCTTTCCAACTAACAAAAGCAAGAATCGACAACACCACCACGAAATGTGACAGGGACGAGACACCCTCTTAACGGCCATGGAGAAGAGACAGGAGGACTTGAACTCCAATCTGGTTTTCCACCCCTCCAAGAAATTGAATTTGATGAAGATGAATATGGCGCAGCTTGAGTGGTATATTAAGCAGTGTAAGGACCTGGATATGGGCTACTACGATTGCTACAAAGATTGGACATCGCGCCCAGACCGGGACGCCACCAAATACAAGACAGAACTCGCAAACTACTGGAAAGAGGAGGTGGAAAAGGCTCAAGCAACAAATGTCAAGCTTCGGATTGCTATACTCTTTGGAGGAACTAACTTTCGTCGGATGGTCGAGCCCCTTGAAATTGCCGACTACTATAGGAACGGTAGAAATAGAAACTACGTAAGCGAGGGGAGACCTCATTACTATGCTGTCATAGAGGGATGGTTGGAGAAGGGCGCCGACTCCGAGAGAAACAGCAAAGGGTCCTTGACACATGACTCCTGTTTTTGGGCTCATGTCGAGGAGGCGAGGCTCAGGGTGGCGGAAGTGAAGCTTGATGGGAGTACGAGAGAAGAGCAAATGGCCGAGTTAAAAGCCTTTGAGGACTACGTTATGGGATTGATAAAGAGATGTGAGGTTTCTTGTGAGATATTCTTGCAAAAGAGCAGCTTCATGAGCTGGTGGAAAGATTATGAAGGTATTTTGAAAGTGGGTTATAATTCACCTCTTGTTACCTTCATGAAGAATCAGGATTACAAGAAGTACATTTGAAAAATGCATGCATGTAAAATGACAACCAGGGTTATCCATATATGTAACGAGAGAGAGAGAGGGAAGGTTCCAATACCTGTTTCTCATGTGAAGGGCTTTTTGTATCTGTTACTTATGTGAGAGCTGATTGTCCTTCTGTAGATGCATAAATTCAGAGATGTTAAAAGTAAAGGGAAGGTTCCGATACATGCTCCTGTGTGAGTGACTTCCCATACCGGTTACTTGAGTGAGGAGCTGATTGTCTCTACTTTTGTAGATGCATAAATTCATTTTTCTGTATACATAAACTCTCTCTCTCTCTCTCTCTCTCTCTCTCTC